TTCGCCTCCATGTCGCCTGGGTCGGTTGCCGTCGCCTCCATGTCGCCTGGGTCCGCTGCCGTCGCCTCCATGTCGCCTGGGTCGGCTGCCTTCGTCTCTTCGTCCCCTCTGTCGCCTGTGTTCGCCGTCACCAAGGCTCCTGCCAGGAGCCGTCCCTTATTGGTGGGGCTATGTCATGATTTGTGTTTGTGCTTATGATTTAGTCTTAGTTTTCTGTCTTTTCCTCCTGTTTTCTTCCTCCTGTCTGCCCTTTGCTCTAGCCCTGCCCACTCACACCTGATCCTCATGTTTCTTCCCCAGGTGTTTCTTGTTTTTCCTCATTAGTTCTTCCTTTATATTCCCCCTACAGTTGTCCCCCTACTGCTATTGCCAGTATCACTCCACCCCCTGTTAACAATAAGTGTTAATTAGGTGTCAGCGATAGCCATGTGATGTGATGTATCAGTCACATGGAGGCAGGGCTTAAAAGCCTGAATTTTGCCTGAAACTCTCAGACTGAAGAAGTCTCTTGGAAGAGAGACGAAACGTTTCATTAGAGAAGAACCCGTCCAGAAGACCTATACAATTTTTTTCTTTTTGATTTTTTTTACCTGGATTACTGATAGCAAAGTATTTGTACCATTTGTACATTTATAAAGTGTTTGCACCGCGCTACGTTCTGCTCATTGATTTCAATGGTTAGCATTAGCATTAGCTCAATGCATAAAAATCCCCCTAGCGAAGCACGCCCAGGTCACGTGACGCCCAATCCAGTAATAAATATCAATGGGGCCAATGCCCCTGTGGCCCCGCCCCTAGAACCGCCCCTGTTCTGGGGGCCAATCAGATTTCAGCTGGGACCTGTGTCTCCACCCCTAGAACAATCTGTTTTTGTCTTTGACCCCAGCTTTGTGCAGTTTTGCACAGAAAAGCATGGATGATTCAAACCATCAGAAGATAAAACAAAGTTTCTTTACAGAAGCTGTTTCGTGTGCAGTGGAGTTAGAGGTGGGGACTGGCCAAGAATCTCAGTCTTTTCAAGTCAGTATTTAAATTGAGTGGAACTGGATGATTGCAGCTAAATCAAATACAACATATGAATCTGCTGTAAGGAGTGTGTTTGACCAGTATCAGATAAGTTTCCTGTTTTTAACAAAGTGCAGCTGACTGGTGACAGATGCAGTCTTTGTTGAGTCAGATCCCCCTCAGTCACGACTCTGTCAGAGAGCCATGAGTCACACACACACACACACACACACACACACACACACACACACACACACAC